CAGCTAGTTTTTATTTTTTTATTTTATTTTGAGACAAGGTTTCACCATGTTGTTCAAACCCGTGGGTTCAGGCAATCCTCTCGCCTCTGCCTCCCAAAGTACTGGGATTACAGGCATGAGCCACCAGGCCCGTTGGTTTTTATTATTATTTTCTTCTTCTTCTTTTTTTTTTTGAGTTGGAGTCTCACTGCTGCCCAGGCTGGAGTACAGTAGCATGCTCACGGTTTCTGCAGCCTTGACCTGCTGGGCTCAGGTGATCCTTCTGCCTTAGCCTTCTAAGTAGCTGGAACTACAGGCATGTGCTACCACACCTGACTAATTTTTTGATTTATTGTAGAGACGAGGTCTCACTAAGTTGCCCAGACTGGTCAGGTAATCCTCTTGCCTCGGCCTCCCAAAGTGCTGGGATTACAGATTTGAGCCACTGAGCCCTGCTTCATTATTTTTCATGGTTGTAGACTTTCCCAGTCTTGATCTAGTGGCCTATTGATAGATATTTAGGGGGCTTTCATTTTTTGCCACTACAATCAATGCTGCTATGACATTCTTGTATATGCTTCCTTGTGCACATATATGGAAGTCTTTTGGCTCACATTTTTAGGAGTTTGAATTGCTGAATTGTAGTTTGGGTTCGTCCATCTTTAACTACCAGGGCTGCCACATACAACTATGCACAGCTTTGACATTTATTGCCAACTTGTTCTTAAAAGTGGGTGGATTAATATATAGAGGGTGCCAAAAAATGCATACACATTTTGAGAAAGAAAAAAACTGTATTAAAATTGTAATATGTGGCTGGACGCAGTGGCTCACACCTGCAATCCCAGTACTTTGAGAGGTGGAGGTGAAAGGATTGTCTGAGTCCAGAGGTTTGAGACCAGCCTGGGCAACGTGGTAAGACCTCATCTCTATAATACATAAAAAAATTAGCCAGGCATGGTGGCACGCACCTGTGGTTCCAGCTACTTGGAAGGCTGAGGCGGAAGGATTGCCTAAGCCCAGCAGGTCAAGGCTGCGGTGGCTGTGAACATGCCACTGCACTCCAGCCTGGGGGACAGAGTGAAACTCTGACTCAAAAAAAAAAGATTTAATACTCAATATATACTGATAATAAAAGATGAATACAAGTCATGTTTGACTTCTACAATTACAAGAGGTGCTCAAAGTGGTTACCATCAGCATTCAGACACTTCTGAGTAAGATGAACTAAAAGTAACACATAGATAACAGCTCTTAAAATGTCTATACTTTTTTTGGCACCCCCAGTGTACCAGCAGGGTATAAGAGATCCGGGTTGTCCACATCCTCACCAACACTTGGTGTTTTGTCAGACATTTACATTTTGCCGATCTAATGAGCATGAAATAAAATTTCCTTATGGTTTTAATTTGCAATCCTTGATTACTAGTGAGGATAAAACATCTTTTCATAGTTTATTGGCCACTTAGGATTCTTCTGTGAATTACCTGGCTCTATTTTTCTGTTGAATTGTTTTTCTTTTTCCTCACTGATTTATAGTCCTTTCTATATTGCAGTCAGTAATCTGTTTTGCCAGTTATCGGTGTTACAAATATTTTCTCCCAGTGGGAGTCTTGTCTTTCACATTGTTTTATGGTACTTTCACATGGAAGTTTTTAATTTTAATGCCAAGTTTATCAATCTTTTCTTTGATAATTTGTGCTTTTTTTTGGTGTCTTATTTTTTTTTTAACTTTCCTACACAGAGATCACAAAGGGATTCATCTATATTTTCTTCTAAAATGTTTGCAATTTTGCCTATTGTATATGTGTGTATTATGCTTTTTAAAGCATATATTTCTAAAAGGGTACACAGGAAAGAGAGTAACACCAGCTGCTCCTGGGAGTAGAATCCAGTGATTGGAGATCGGAATGAAAGGAAGACTTTTCACTGTATACCTTTTGTTGCTTTAGAGTTTTGAACCAAGTGAACAAAATACCTATTAAAAATAAGTAAATAACTTAAATAAGAAGTTACTAGAAAAGATTCTGCAGAAACAAATGGTTTTTCACATTTAAATTTCTAATGCACCTAAAGTTAGTGTTTGTGTATGGCGTGAGATAGGGATTCAGTATTAATATGTCCACATGGACAGTCATTCATCCTAACATCACTGTTGCTTTCCCCTGGACTGCCTTTCCCAACTTTCTATGCTTGCTTAGCTTGCTCTAATTCACCCTTCAAGACTCAGCTTAGATTCATAGATTCCAACAATGCTGACATTATACCATAGAGCAGTGCTGTCTCATAGAAATATAATGTTCCTGGGCATGGTGGCATGCACTCGTAATCCCTGCACTTTGGGAGGCGGATGCAGGAAGATTGCTTGAGTCAAGGAGTTCAAGGTTGCATTGAGCTGTGATTGTACCAATACTTTGCAGCCTGGGTAACAGAGTGAGACCTCAACTCAAAAAACAAATTAAAAAAAGAGGCCCGGTGCAGTGGCTCAAACCTGTAATCCCAGCATTTTAAGAGGCCAAGGTGAGAGGACTGCCTGAACCCAGGAGTTCGAGACCAGCCTGGGCAACTTGGTGAGATCTCATCTCTACAATAAATAATAATAATAAAATTAGCTGGGCGTGGAAGCGTGTGTCTGTAGTTCCAGCTACTTGGAAGACTGAGGTGGAAGGATCACCTGAGCTCAGCAGGTCGAGGTTTCAGTGGGTGTGAGTGTGTCACTGCACTCCAGCCTGGGCAATAGAGTGAGACTCCAACTCAAAAAAGAAAGAAAGAAAGAAAGAAAGAAAAGAAATAGAGTGCAAACAACATATGTGATTAAAAATGTCCTAGAAGGCGGGAGTGGTGGCTTACACCTGTAATCCCAGCACTTTGGGAGGCCAAGGCGAGAGGATTGCCTGAGCTCCTGGGTTCAAGACCAGCCTGGGCAACTTGGTGAGACCTCATCTCTACAATAAGTCAAAAAATTAACTGGGCATGGTGGTGCACACCTGTAATTCCAGCTACTTGGAAGGCTGAGGCAGAAGGATTACCTGAGCCCAGAAGGTTGAGGCTGCAGTGGCCATGAGCATGCCACTGCACTCCAGCCTGGGTGATAGAGTGAGACTCCAATCCAAAAAAAAAAAACAAAGTCCTAGTAGCCACATTAAAAGAGAAATAAGTTAATTTTTACAATATATTTTATATAACTCAGTATATGTAATCAATGTAAAAATTATTGCATATCAAGATTTTTTTCTGAGCCTGCTTCATCTGGAGAAAGTATTCAAAATCTGGTGTGTATTTTACACATATGGCAGGTCACAATTTAGACTAGTAACATTTCAAGTGCTCTGTAGCATATACAGTAGTGGCTACTGTATCGAATAGTGCAGCCATAGAGACTTACTGTCCAAGAATGTTTTGCCTTATATTGGGACGATCTGTTCTTTTTTTTTTTTTTTAGTTGGAGTCTCACTCTGTCACCCAGACTGGAGTGCAGTGGCCGCTCCCGGCCACCACAGCCTCGACCCGCTGGGTTCTGGCAGCCTCGACCCGCTGGGTTCTGGCAATCCTTTCGCCTCTGCCTTCCCAAGTAGCCGGAATTACAGGCATGCGCTACCATGCCCGGCTGATTTTTTGGTTTATTGTAGAGATGAGGTCTCGCCAAGTTGCCCAGGCGGGTCTCGAACCCGCGGGCTCAGGCAATCCACTCACCTCAGCCTCCCAAAGGCACGGGATTACAGGCTGAGTCACCGAGCCCGGCTTGGGACGATCTGTTCTTATATCAGCCTCTGTTATTAGCCATTAAGCTTCTGAAGGGTGGCACCGAGTCTCAGTCATCTGCATCCTCCTTCTCCTCTGCATACCTAGCACAGTGCTGTGCAGAGAGGTACTCCACAATTTTTGTTGAAAGGGACTGAACTCTGACTGTTGACACACTCTTCCTTATATAAAACTGAACCTTGTCCGCTGGCAAGTTCTACCCGGGAGCCCTAACTCTGCTCCCTGGAGCCTCTCATGAGGTTCTCATGAGAATATTTGAAGGTTTTCCTGAATTTTCTCTTCCTTGAGCTATGTATCCCAGACCACCTCTCCTTTTCTGAATGACTATTGGACTTTCTTGGCCAGGACTCATACCTGCTTAGAAAACATTTTGTGATAGTCTTGAATTATTTCCTATGTCAGTGTTTTCCTTTACTTTTTTTTTTTTTTTTGGAGTTGAAGTCTCACTCTGTTGCCCAGGCTAGAGTGCAGCGGCACATTCACTGCCACTGCAACCTCGACCTGCTGGGCTCAGTTGATCCTTCCAAGTAACTGGAACCACAGGCATGTGCCACCACTCAGCTAATTTTTTGATTTATTGTAGAAATGAGGTCTTACCAAGTTGCCCAGGCTGGTCTCAGACCTCTGGACTCAGGTCATTCTCTCACTTTGGTCTCCCAAAGTGCTGAGATTACAGGCTTGAGTCACCACGCCCAGCCTCCTTTACACCTTGAAAATCTGGAGGCAAGCCCGGTCTATGAGTTCTCCTGTGCCTAGCTTGGAGTTATGTACATTGGAGACCTCCTCTCAAGGCCAATGAGTCCAGTACATCCCATTTCTTCCTCTGGTCAGATATTTTCTCCACGCCCTTTCTAATCTTCAGAAATCACAGACTGAGTTTTTAATAAAGCTTGCAGACATTCCAGTCCCATCCCTTTATTTTTCAGCCAAGGGAAAGGAGGACCCATGGGAGTTAGCTTGCCCCAGATTCCAATTAGTGCCAGAGCCAAGGGCCAGGAAGAACCAGAGTCCCATATTGAGCAGTGTTTTTTCTCTACTCCACCTGCCTGCCATCTGGGTCTGCCCCTATAAGGCACTTGCTCCGTAATTTTCCCACCTAGGCTGGCCAGGGTATCCTCTGGGACTGACCAAGTTGCAAGGAGTCCCAGCAGTCGTTGAGGAAAGCCAGGGCCATGAAGGAAGATCTGGTGGAGGAGGGTGTGCGAATGTGTGTGTCTTGGGGGTATGGAGTGGCAGCACAGCAGTGGGTTAAAGTTAACACCAGACAATGATGCAATCACAGAATCCAAATCGAGTGCAGGTCGCTTTAAGAAAGGAGCAACTGTAATCTGAAGCCTGCTGGACGCTGGATTAGGAGGCAGCAAAAAAAGCTCTTGTGCTTGCTGGAGCCCCCTCAGTGTGCAGGCTTAGAGGGACCTAGGCTGGGAGTGGAGCTGCAACCCACAGGTAAAGCAGCTCCCTGGCTGATCTGCCTGTCAGGGAAGACGGGAGAGGCTCCCCTGGGCTGGGGCATGGGGGAGAGGCAGGGGCACCCTAGGGAGCAGAAAAGAGGGGTGCAAGGGAGAGGAAGTGGGGAGACAGCAGCTTGTGCAGTTTGGGCCAGAGGGTGGGTGAATGAGAGAGGGCAGAGGGAGCAGGGGAGCAGAAGGTCAGGACCCACTGATCCCCCCCACCAATAGAAGAGGCCGGAAAGACTTTTGAATGAAGGGAGTGGAAAATATTCCAGGGTGGTGGTGGTGAAGAAGGGGGAACTAAGTTGCTGGGTCAGGTCTTAGCAGCTCCCCAAAGAGGCTGGGGCCCTGAGGGAAGGGAAGGAGGCTCTCAGGGGGCTGCTTCCACCAGGGGTATCAGGAAGGTAGTCCCCCTGCAGTTCAGCCCTTGCTTCCACTCCCTGGGCTCTCAGCTTTTTTTCAAAATCCACTGGCGCTGATTACAAAGATAATTTCCCAACACCACCAAGCAGCTGGCCTGCTGAGCCCTGCCTGAGGGCTGGGATGGAGTGCAGCTGGGTCCTTCTGGCCAGCCCCTACCCTTTCTCTTTGACCAAATTAGTTGTGAGTAAAAGCTGGGAGACCCATGAGGTTGTGGCCTCTCACAGGCAATGCTCACTATTTAGCCCAGCCAGTGTGTGGGGTCTGGGGGCCTGGCTGCCCCCCTTCTGCTCCCCGAGGCAAGCCGCAGCAGGGGCAGGTCTCCACCAAAGAAAAGCTGCGGGCTTCCTAGAAGCCCACCACTGTCTGGCCCATGCCCATTCACCAGGGGTTTAGTCCCAGGATGGGGGTTGAGGGGTGGTGAGGAGGCAGAGGGGGCCCAAGGAGTCCTATTTCTAGGGCTGGCTCCTCTGGAGTACGGGGAGGTGCAGCTCTGGGGTACCCTGGCCTGGCTCATTCAGGTTCCAAGACTTCAGGGAAGAACATTGTCTGGGCGCTGGTGGGGTCACCATGGGTGGGCCATTTCCCTCCCAGAGAGAGAGGAGAGGGAGGTGCCTTCCCTGCACTGTCTTTAAGGTTCACTGTTGTACCGCTTGAAGGCTGTGTGGTTCTGGGAGGAGAAGGAGAAGGAGGGGGATGGATGTTTGTCTCATAACTGGGTTTAATCTGAAACACATGTATTGGCTTGAGTTTATCCTAGCTTGGAGGCCAGATCACAAAATCCCAGTTCCTGTGTTTCTTGATTTGGGCAGAAAGTAAGGCCTGACCTTGGCCTAGCAGGGAGGGTATCTACCTCCTCCCATGCCCTCCCCCACCTGGTAGGGCTGGAGTCTGGTTTGGATACTGCCCTTTGGACAGGATGGCATCATTGTCGCTGTGCCCTTGGCCAGCCAACGGTCGCCTGCTCCAGCCCACAGAACAATTACCTTGTCAGGGTGTTGCGTGTGCTCTGAGGACGCTCCACGTGGACCCTCACTCTCTGCCCTCGCACTGCCCTTGTAGGGGGATTTTAGTAAGCTCTCCCCTTCTCTCATCCCTATGGCCTGAGTAGAAGATCCTCAGGCAGACCCCTGTCCCTTCCCCTGCAGGCTCTCTCACCTCACCTCAGCCTGTCCACAATGTGACAATGATCAATCACTCGACCTGGGGCTCTGGTCAAGCTCTGTAGGGACTAATGCCTCACCTTCAAGTATATTGAATTGTGAATGCAGCTTCCTTAAATATGGCATCAGGGTGACCCTGTCTCCTCTCTTAATTCATACCCCAGGCAGAGGGTCTGGAGCTAACAACTTTTCCTCTAGTCTTGCCTCCCATGCATCTCACTGAATTTTTAGTCTCCAATAAACCAGTCTTCTGAGGCTCAGGAGAGGGAGGCTCCTGCCAGCTTTGGGTGGGGCCGGCCGGGTGGAGACCAGCTGTTAAGCCTGGATAGTGTTGAGGTCTTTAACTGCACTGCAGAAAGCTATTCCTGCTGTCTCCATGGGTTTCTCCACGTGCAGGAGCAGCTGGCTGAGAGGACAGTGGTCTGTGGAGTTCCCACTCAGAGACACACACTCACGAGGTTTAGAAAGAAACTAGGCTGGTTCCTGCTGGCAGTCTGGCCTTAAGATGAGCAAACTTGCCAGGAGTGATAGCTTATGCCTGTAATGCCAGCACTTTGGGAGGGGAGGCAAGAGGATCGCCTTGGTCCAGGGGTTTGAGACCAGCCTGGGCAACTTGGTGAGACCTCATCTCTACAATAAATAAAAAAAATTAGCCAGGTGTGGGGGTGCATTCCTGCGATTCCAGCTACTCGGAAGGCTGAGGTGGAAGGATTGCCTGAGCCCAGCAGGTCAAGGCTGCGGTGGTTGTGAGCGTGCCACTGCACTCCAGCCTGGGTGGCAGAATGAGACTCCAACTCAAAAAAAAGAGATGAGCAAACTCAGGCAATCTTTTTCCTTTGTTGCCTTTCATGGTCTACAATATTGTCTAGTGGATTATCAGACTTAGTTTTAAGGACTTTAGCCAACAATCACATGCCACACTCCCAAATTTTCTGATCCAATTTGTTCTGGGAAGTCAGAAAAGTATGCGTGTTGTGTGGGTGGGTGTTTGTGTGTATATAAAAGGATAATGAAGAGGGTTGGGTGCAGTGGCACATGCCTGTAATCCTAGCACTTTCAGAGGCTGAGGTAAGAGGACTGCTTGAGCCCAGGAGTTCAAGACCAGCCTGGGCAACCTAGCAAGACCTCATCTCTACAAAAAAAAAAAATGAGCCAGGTGTGCATGCCTGCAGTCCCAGCTATTTGGGAGGCTGAGGAGGGCAGACCACTTGAGCCTGGACATTCAAGGCTGTAATGTGCAATAATTGTGCCTGTAAATAGCCACTGAACTTCAGCCTGGGAAACATAGTGAGACCACACTTAAGAACTTTAAAAAAAGGAAAAAGGATACAATTGAGATTTGAACCCAGGTCCTCTAACCCTAGACCTGGTATTCATCTGAGAGGAAAAGCTCTTGAGATGACACTGTCTGAGAAGGGAATGAGCATCCTTATGAGAACACAGGTTTGAGGTCAGAGGAATGCAAGAAGAGTGTTTGAGAATTTGGAGGAGAAAACAGGAGCTAGACTGAGGCCTCCATTCTTGGCATTCTATGATTTTATGGAGGAGACCTGGGTTCTTGCCCTTCTCTGTGGAGATATTGCCCTAAATCCTATCACATGAGCTGGCCTGCTGCCTCCAGAAAAAAGCCTTAGTTTCCTGCCCCCCAGTGTTGTTTTTTTTTTTTTTAGAGACAGGGTCTCATTCTGTTGTCCAGGCTGGAGTATAGCAGTGTGATCATGGTTCACTATAGCTTCAACCTCCTGGGCTCAAGCAATTCTCCTGCCTCAGCCTCCCAAGTGGCTGGGACTACAGGTGCACACTACTGCACCTGGTTAATTTTTTTTTTTTTTTTTTTTTTAGTTGAAGTCTCACTCTGTCACCCAGGCTGGAGTATAATGACATGAACATGGCTACCGCAGCCTCGACCTGCTTGGCTCAGGGGATCATTCTGCCTCAGCCTTCCAAGAAGTTGGGACTACAGGGCACGCCACCACAACTGGTTAAATTTTTTGATTTATCACAGAGAAAAGGTCTTGCCATGTTGCCCAGGATGATCTTGAACTCCTGAGCTCAGGCAATCCTCTTGTCTCCACCTCTCAAAGTGCTGAGATTATGGGTATGAGCCACTGCACCTGGCCTAATTTAAACAATTTTTTTAGAGACAGGGTCTTGCTATCTTGCCCAAGCTGGTCTCAGGCTCCTGGCCTCAAGTGATCCTCCTGCCTTGGCCTCCCAAAGTGTTGGGATTATAGGTGTAAGCCACCGTACCCAGCCCACATTTGTGTTAGACCATATTCCACACAGAGGAGCCCTACTGGAGCTGGGATTTCTAGAAGCTTTGGGTTTGATGGTGGGTTCCCTGACACAGACAATGGGAAGAAGGCTTACAGTGTGACGGTGGGCCATGAGGCAGGTGGTGGTGTGGGAGGACTTTGCTGGGAGGGAGGGGTCATCAAACTGTCCAGGCTAGGGGGGCTGCTGCAAGGAAGGTGCCTAGTCCCGCCTATCCCCTGCTCCCTGGCCAGGGTGGCCTGGCAGGGCAGGTGGGGGTGGGGGTGGGTAAGGAGAGGGCATGCTGCCACGTGCTTTTCTTGCAGGCCCCAGGATGCAGGCCCTCGTGCTACTCCTCTGGACTGCAGCCTTCCTCGGGCACAGCAGCTGCCAGAACATTGCCAGCAGCCTGGAGGAGGTTTGTAGGGGTAGGTGGGCATGGGGTGGTGGTGGGGGAGATCAGTATTCACAGCCCCTCCTCAGCAGGCAGCATGAGACAGGCGGGGAGCTGGGCACCTGGGTTCCAGGCCAGGCTCTGGCCTTTATTTCTCTAGGACCTAGGTATCTCTAGCAGCAAAACAGAGAAAATGTTTTATCTTGTCTTTCAGGAGACAGAGTGGGGACAAAAATAAGACTCCAAAAAGTGAAAAGCCAAAGTTCTTTAATAAGCCAGGACTGTCCCTTAGGTAAAGACCCTTTCTCATTACCCTGTCTCACTAGTGGGCTCACTGAGTAAGTGGTGTTCTCAGGGATTAGTTCGGATACTAACCAGGGATGCAGCAGGGGATGAGAGAGTGTGGACAGAGCTCTCCTTCCCAGAGAGCACAGTTGGGTTGCAGGCACATGGAGGGAAGCCTATGCCATAAGGTGGTGGAGGGGGGGGTCTGTCACATGAGGGATAAGGGCAGCTGGGTGTACTGGCAGGAGCCCTGGACTTTGTCATGAGGTCCGAGTTTGAATTCTGACTTGCTCTCTCACTGGCTGTGACCGTAGACAGGTCCCTCTTTACCTCAATAGGCTTTCTTACCTGTAACAATAAAATAAAAATACCCTTTCTTGCAGGGCCATGTGGCCATCTGTGTATTTCTCAGCTACCGTACAGCTACTCTGTAGTGCTGGGGAAAGGTGGAAATAGAAAGACTCAGTTCAAGAACTCAGTCTGAGTTGGGTTCGGTGGCTCAGGCTGTAATCCTGTGCCTTTGGGAGGCTGAGGTGAGTGGATTGCCTGAGCCCGTGGGTTCGAGACCCGCCTGGGCAACTTGGCGAGACCTCATCTCTACAATAAATCAAAAAATTAGCTGGGCGTGGTAGCGCGCGCCTGTAGTTCCAGCTATTTGGAAGGCTGAGGCGGAGTGATCGCCGGAGCCCAGCAGGTCAAGGCTGCGGTGGCCGGGAGCGGCCACTGCACTCCAGTCTGGGTGATGGAGTGAGACTCCAACTCAAAAAAAAAAGAGACTCCAACTCAAAAAAAAAAAAAAAAAAGAACTCAGTCTGTTGAGATGTTAGTCTTGTGGGTTATCACACAGATGCACCCACAAGTATGAAATGAAGTGATTCAAATGAGAAGAACTAACAAAGAACCTGGCACGTGGTAGGTTAAGAAGTGGTAGCTGGCCTGGCTCGGTGACTCAGTTTGTAATCCCAGCACTTTTGGAGGCCGAGGCGAGAGGACTGCCTGAGTTCAGGGGTTCGAGACCAGCCTGGACAACTTGGTGAGACATTATCTCTACAATAAATCAAAAAATTAGCCAGGTGTGGTGACAGGTGCCTGTGGTTCCAGCCTGTAATCCCAGCACTTTGGGAGGCCGAGATGAGTAGATTGCCTGAGCCCGTGGGTTCAAGACCAGCCCGGGTAACTTGGCGAGACCTTGTCTCTTCAATAAACCACAAAATTAGCCAGGTGTGGTAGCGTGCACCTGTATTTCCGGCTACTTGGAAGGCTGAGGCGGAAGGATCACTGGAGTCCAGCAGGTCAATGCTGGGGTGGCCATGAGTGTGCCACTGCACTCCAGCCTGGGTGACAGAGTGAGACTCCAACTAAAAAAACAAACAAAAAAACAACAAAAAAGAAGTGATAACTGAATCTGAAAAAGGGTCAGAAAACCAACCGGTCCCTGTTGGTAGGGGTGTACAGGGAAAATCGGAGATGAGGAAGAGACATCTGACCAGGGCCACACGAGACAGGGAGCGTTTGATAGGAAGGTCTGGCAGAGGCCTGGGAGCAACAAGCAAGGCTGAGCAGATGGGCAGCCGGTTTGGCCTGAGTACAGGGTTTCTTTGTGAGGAGGGGGGAAGATTCCTTGCCAATTATTTTCAAAGTGTGTCACGGCTTGTGGCTTACAGGTCACAAGCATTTAAACCTGACCAGCTAATCTCTCTTCTGGGCAGCCTGTCCCCAGTGAGCTCATGCATAATCAGGGAGTGCAAGCTCACTCCAACACCAGGTAGGGCCAACATTAGGAAGGGCAGCCCCCAGGGGCCAGCACGACAGTCCACACAAAGCCACAAGGGGATGGTCACTGCTCATCTCCACTGGTCCTTGTACTCACATCCAGGACTTCCTGTCTCCTGCCAGGGCTCCCCAGCCCCAGATAGCACAGGGGTGCCGGTGGAGGAGGAGGACCCCTTCTTCAAAGTCCCTGTGAACAAGCTGGCAGCTGCTGTCTCCAACTTCGGCTACGACCTGTACCGCGTACGCTCCAGCATGAGCCCCACGACCAATGTGCTCCTGTCTCCACTTAGTGTGGCCACAGCACTCTCTGCCCTCTCACTGGGTGAGTACTCAGTACAGAAAGCCACCCCCCAGGCAGACCTGAAGCGGACCTACCTGGTGTCTGTGCATATGTGTCTCTAAGCCCTGGAGACAATTCAGCTCAGGAATAGGCACAGAGCCACTGGGAGGCTGGCTCCCGGGGGTCAACACTTAGCCATTCACTCCTCAAACAAGTTCCTACTGTGTGCCAACCATTCACCTAGGCTCTGGAGACAAACCCACCTACTAGCAGACATGAGCTGTCCTCACTGAGGTCATAGCTGGGTTCACAGGGGAAATGAATCAACAGGTAACTACAGAATAGTCTCAAGTGCTGTGATGGGAGAAGTACAGGGCCTTGTGCCTCTCACACCCACCCTTACCTCTCTAGGCCTGATGTCTTTAGCCTGTTTCAGGAAATTCTCTCAGGATGCAGTCACTATTTCTTCCATTGTCTTCAGATTCCTTGCCTATATAGGATGTCTCTAAAATCAGCCTACTTGGGCCCTAAGCAAAGAGAGTAAGAATCTGGCATCCCTGTCCTGGAAGAGGGCCTGACTTGGGCCCAGGGGCAGTCATGGAGGTTCACAACTTGTCTCTGGCAGGAGCGGAACAGCGAACGGAGTCCATCATTCACCGGGCTCTCTACTACGACCTGATCAACAACCCAGACATCCATGGCACCTACAAGGAACTCCTTGCCACCGTCACTGCCTCTCAGAAGAACCTCAAGAGTGCATCTCGCATCATTTTTGAGAAAAGTGAGTCTCCGTTCTAGCCTGGGCTGCTTGGGGAGTATGGGCTCTATGCTTCAGGCTGCGAGTTTCTTTCTAAAGAGCAGATCATGTCTACTTACAACAGGTCTGACACTGGTGGGCAGGAAGTGTCTGTGAGCCCAGAGAGGATCAGAAAGAGGAAGTGGGTTGCGGGAGACAGCGGGAGGGATGGGGAGGCAGTAACATGAAGAGGAACGGCAATGAGTGGAATCTGTTGTTCCCTGTCCAGTGCCTGGGGATGCCGGAAGGGGTCCCAGCAAGTCACAGGAAGATGCTGGGCAGAAAGCTGGGGCCTACTGAGAGATAAACCAGAACCCTAGCCTGGCATGCTCTCAAAGAGAGGATGCTGGTTCAGTTTCGTACACTAACCTCTGCTCTACCTCTTCTCAGGGCTGCGGATAAAGTCCAGCTTTGTGGCACCACTGGAAAAGTCATATGGGAGCAGGCCCAGAATCCTGACTGGCAACCCTCGACTGGACCTTCAGGAGATGAACAGCTGGGTGCAGGCCCAGACAAAAGGGAAAATCGCTAGGTCCACGAAGGAAGTGCCCAGTGAAATCAGCATTCTCCTTCTCGGTGTGGCTTACTTCAAGGGTGAGGGCTTCTTCACTTGTTTTGTGGCTGAGGGTGGAGGGCAGACATCAGAGGGGGCTGGGAAAGAGGACATGTCCAAGACCTGCCCAAAACGAACGCAAGGCCAAAGCCAGAGGATCTGAGAACTGCACTTGCCTGAAGTGTATCTGCTTGTCATCATATCTAAGGCAAAGCGTGGGGACAAGAGGCTTGTGGAGAAAAAAACAGCAGAGAGGGAAAAAGAACAAACACTGGGCCTGTTTGGGGTCAGGCACTGTGCGGGATTTCTGACTTCCAAGTCAGACGAGGTTTAAATCTCAGAAAAGGATGGCTGACTGTAGAACTCTGCAGAAGTTTCGTAACCTTTCTGGGCCTGTTTTCTCATCTTTAACATGAGGATAATACACCTTATATATGTTGTCTCTAAGTCTTACAACAACCCCAGTACTGTACCAAGGACATGGCAGGTGGTCAACAACATCCTTTTCTAGGCTGTGGTGATATGCCCAGAGATCATTTCACAGGCCTAGTGTGTGGCCAGCCCCATTCAGATAAGGCCTTGCAGGGGGGTTGGGACAACCTACCCCTTAAAATGCTTTCCGCTGGGTGCGGTGGCTCACGCCTGTAATCTCAGCACTTTGGGAGGTGGAGGTGAGAGGACTGCCTGAGCCCAGGGGTTCAAGACCAGCCTAGGCAACTTGGTGAGAACTCGTCTCTACAATAAATAAAAAAAATTTAGTCGGGTGTGGTGGCACACACCTGTAGTTCTAGCTACTCGGAAGGCTGATGTGGAAGGATCAGCTGAGCCAGAAGGATTGCCTGAACCCAGCAGGTCGAGGCTGCAGTGGCTGTGAGTGTGCCACTGCACTCCAGTCTGGGGGACAGAGGGTGACTCCAACTTACAAAAAGAAAAAAAGCTTTGCAACTGGCTATCAGGCACCAGCAAGAGTAGACCCCTAAAACTCCTAGAGAAAAACCCAAATAGCTTCCTACTTCAAGCACTGATCTCCAGTGAGTGGAAGAACAGTTATAGATCCAGGGTATTAAAGGCCATATTAAACTCAAGGAGCTTGGTCATCAGCTCACTCTGTGAGTGTCAGCAAGTCACTTCACCTCTTGGCTTTGGTGCTTTTTTAGCTCTGAGAGAGGGATGATCAGAGGATCTCAAGGTCTCTTTCAGCTCTGACCTCCTCTGACGCTGTCGCCCAGAGACACCACTGTGGACACATACAAGTTTACTTTTCTCACAGGCTATGGCAGAACTTATATAATCCAGAGATTCAAATCAGCAAAATCAATGCATTTCCTTCTGGGTTTGCTTGCAGAAGGTACTCAGGGTTCTGGAAATTATTGTGGTCCATACCACACATGCTGAGACAGACTTATTCCCTGATGTGCAAGAGCCCCTGATGACTAAGATTCCTTTAGTTGGGCAATTTTCAACAACATGCTTTGGAGACACAGAGAGGTCCCACTGCTTTTCTGGTCTCCTGGGACTCACGACACTGCATTTGTTTCATTCCAGGGCAGTGGGTCACAAAGTTTGACTCCAGAAAGACCTCCCTTGAGGATTTCCACTTGGATGAAGAAAGGACTGTGAGAGTCCCCATGATGTCAGACCCTAAAGCTATTTTACGCTATGGCTTGGATTCTGATCTCAACTGCAAGGTCTGATAGGACAGGGTCGGTGGTGGGTGGAGGGAGGACAAAGAGAGGCAGAATGGTGTGGTAGAAATAGAATGACTCTTGAGATTTGACAGTTGTCTAAATTTTGCCCGCTGTGTGACTTTGAGCAAATTAATAACATCTTTGAGCCTTTCCTCTTTTTTTTTTTTTTTTGAGGTTGTCACTGTTTATTTATGACAAATGTTTCACACCCATGGTCCAGTCAAAAGTTTTTTGAGACAATGCCACTGGCCTTGGCCAATTGGAGAATGCAGTCATCAGACTCGCCCATTCTGCGAATGGCCCCACCAATAGCATAGGTTTTAAACTGGCCTTTAAACCTGCCGGTAACCTTGTCAACCTCCACCACATTCATCTGGATGGACGTGTGGTCCTTGGCACCAATGATGTGGTTGCTGGCAGAGCATTTCCGCAGCATGTACTTGAACTTGCCGGAGTCATTCTTCATGTCTAGGCCATGCTGCAAGCCCACAGAGAAAGCTTATTTATTTATTTATTTAAGAGACAGGGTCTTGCTATGTTGCCCAGGCTGGTCTTGAACTCCTGGGTTCAAGTGATCCTCCTGCCTTGGTCTCTCAAAGTGTTGGGATTATAAACATAAGCCAGCAATAGCCAGTATCCTCTTCTTAAGATAAAATGGGAGATAGTTATTAAAACTTATCCTCTCAGCATTTGTTGTAAGGATTAATAAAGTAATATAAAATAGGCCCTCAGATTGGGCACTTAAAGGTTGTTTTTGAGAACTTTTATATCTAGAATTCAAAGACAAATTTTGAAAAACTCACACATTCCAAATTGTTGGCATTCTAAAACTTTAGCTATACCTGACTAAATTCTAAGTTTTTTTTTTTTTTTTAAAGAGATAGGATCTTGGCCAGGCATGGTGGCTCAAGCCTGTAATCCCAGCACTTTGGGAGGCTGAGGCGAGAGGATTGCCTGAGCCCCTGGGTTCGAGACTAGCCTGGACAACATGGTGAGACCTCGTCTCTACAATAAATCAAACGATTAGCTGGGTGTGATAGCGCCTATAGATCTGGCTGCTTGGAAGGCTGAGGCAGGATTACTGGAGCCCAGCAGGTTGATGCTGGGGTGGCCATAGTATGCCATTGCACACTAGCCTGGGCAAGAGTGAGACTCCAACTAAAAAGAAAAAAAAAAAAAGAAATAGGATCTTGCTCTGTAACCCAGGCTAGAGTGCAGTGGTGCAATCACAGCTCACTGCAGCCTTGAACTCTTCGGCTCGAGTGATCCTCCCATTTCAGCCTCCTAGCTGGGACTACATGTATGCACCACCACACCCTGCTAATTTTTAGTAGATACTATGCTATGTTGCCCAAGCTGGTCTCAAACTCTTGGCCTCAAGCGATCAGCCTGTCTCAACCTCCCAAAGCACTGGGATTACTGGCATGAACCACCACACCTAGCCCTAAATCAGTAGTTCTTAACCTTTTTTTTGGGCCATGGATCTCTTTGGGAACCTGACAAACACTCAACCTGAAACACTCAAGAGACATGCCAAATGTGCAAATGTATACATTTCTTTTTTTTTTGAGTTGGAGTCTCACTCTGTTGCCCAGACTGGAGTGCAGTGGTCGCTCCCGGCCACCGCAGCCTCGACCTGCTGGGCTCCAGCGATCCTTCTGCCTCAGCCTCCCAAGTAGCCGGAATTACAGGCATGTGCTACCATGCCCGGCTGATTTTTTGATCTATTGTAGAGATGAGGTCTCGCTGCCCAGGCGGGTCTCGAACTCACTGGCTCAGGCAATCCACTCACCTCAGCCTCCCAAAGGTGCGGGATTACAGGCTGAGCCACCGAGCCTGGCTATATACATTTCTTTTTCTCCATGGATCTTGGGTTAAGAGCCTCTGTTCAATGGACCTATTTTATTGCTACTTCTGTACTGCTGTCCCCAATCACTCATTTCTAGTCCAGTGCTCTAAGAGTAACAGATGATCAGTAAATGTTGGCAGATGAATTCTGCAAGAAAACAAAGACCTAAAACTCAATTCTAGCTCCTTAGAACCATGGGAAAATATTCTCATATTCTCACAGGAGATAACTTCAGTTGGCATTAGGCTGAGGTAAAAACAAAAAACACAGCAGTAGCTAGCTACCTTGCTGCCAGAAAGCAATAACCTAGAAGGACAATTGTTAAATAGATTAGAAGCGGGTGGAAATTGAGGCCAGGGTCCCACCATAGGAGAGCAGAGGCAGCTCTTGGTGTATGTCTATCCCTAGGATCCTGGGGTCTAAAGTGCTAACTCAGGTGCTTCCTTGCTCGTTTCAGATTGCCCAGCTGCCCTTGACTGGAAGCATGAGTATCATCTTCTTTCTGCCCCTGAGAGTGACCCAGAACTTGACCCTGATAGAAGAGAGTCTCACCTCTGAGTTTATTCATGACATAGACCAAGAACTGAAGACTGTCCAAGCGGTCCTGACCATACCCAAGCTGAAACTTAGTTATGAAGGCGAAGTTACCAAGTCCCTGCAGGAGATGAGTATGTTTGCAAAACCCTTTTGCTCTTGGGGGTGGAGTGGGGTGGGGTGGGATGGGGTGAAGTCTTTGAGCCTTCTACCTTGCTAAGTCATGGAGCTCTTGAGTGGGAGGCCATGGATCATTACTTAATTCTCAGTGCTGGAAGGCTGAGCTGCTTTCCTCATCAGACTCATTCTTCAGCCCCATGAGTTCTGGATCTGTAGCAGGAGCTCAGAACTGCCTCTCAAGACAAGTCTGTTTGACCTGGTTTCTTTTTTTTTTTTGAGTTGGAGTCTCACTCTGTCACCCAGACTGGAGTGCAGTGGCCGCCTCTGGCCACGGCAGCCTCGACCTGCTGGGCTCCGGCGATCCGTCCACCTCAGCCTTCCAAGTAGTTGGAACTACAGGCGTGTACTACCATGCCCGGCTGATTTTTTGATTTATTGTAGAGATGAGGTCTCGCCAAGTTGCCCAGGTGGGTCTCGAACCCGTGGGCTCAGGCAATCCACTCACCTCAGCCTCCCAAGGCGCGGGATTACAGGCTGAGCCACCAAGCCCGGCTTGACCTGGTTTCTAATCTTAACCTCACTTGCTGTGTGCTCCTGGCCGAGTCACTGCCGAGTCCTGGCCAGCTCAGAGTACTACATACCTCACAGAAGGTCACAAGTGGTGCTCTACTCCCAACCTGTTTGCGATTGTATACCACCTTGGGGTGTTGGGTAAGGCAGGGTCTTAATGAAAATCTCTCTCAAACTCCGCAGAGCTGCAGTCCTTGTTTGATTCACCAGACTTTACCAAGATCACAGGCAAACCTATCAAGCTTACTCAAGTGGAGCACCGGGCTGGCTTCGAGTGGAATGAGGATGGGGCAGGACCAACCCCCAGCCAAGGGCACCAGCCTGCCCGTCTCACCTTCCTCCTGGACTATCACCTCAACCGACCTTTCATCTTTGTACTGAGGGACACGGACACAGGGGCTCTTCTCTTCATAGCCAAGATTCTGGATCCCAGGGATGCTTAATGCTCCAGTTTTATGTTCCAATACCCTAGAAGAAAACTCCAGTGGGATGGCAGATTATATATTACATGAAGGCTGCCCCTATGTTTCAATGTATGCAATAAAAGAGCTTTGTCCTTAACTTTTGTACTTTGTTCCTCCTATTTTGAGCTATGCTAAGTCTACTATGAAGATACTGCCTTTTAGGAATTTGTTGGTCCTATACTTATAGCCTGGTTCTATCTAATCTCTGCAGAAAGTTGCCATTTATAAGAACTTTTGAGGAAAGGTGGGGAGGGAGGGTGAGGGCTCAGAAGCTACCCACTGGGTACAATATTCACTATTTGGGGGATGTTGTATCCTGGTGAAGATTGGGGACACCCAAAGCCCAGTCCCCACCAGTATATCATATGTCCATGTAACAAACATGCACTTGTACCCCCTGAAACTACAATTTAAAAAACAACAGCAACAAAAAAAACATTTTAGTTACCTGTGTAATGCAGGAACTGCTTCTCTGCTCTGGGGGTATTTATGTACTAGGAGCACTAATCCTCCCAGGAGGGCATTTCCTACCCCCACAATCAGGGAAGCATACTTTTAAATAACAGATAAGACAGGGCAATTTGTACCTTCAGGAGATAAGTCATTTAAAGAAAGTTCCCAAGTACACATAAAACGGGACCTGATATGTAAAGATTCTAAACATATTCTCTGTGAGGAAGTATGCCTATTGCACAAGTACAGTGGAACTTTTCTTGGGAATGTGAAAACTGCCAAGTGTTTGGAATGGAGTAACTAGCAAAAAACTGTTCACAGAACTATATTCTTTTTTCCTTTCTTTTTTTCTGAGTTGGAGTCTCATAGTCACCCAGGCTGGAGTGCAGTAGCATGTTCACGGCCACCACAGCCTCAACCCGCAGGGCTCAGGTGATCCTTCCGCCTCAGCCTTCCAAGTGGCTGGAACTACAGGCATGCACCACCATGCCTGGCTAATTTTTCTTGTTTTATTGTAGAAATGAGGTCTTGCCAAGTTGGCCAGGCTGTTCACAAACTCATGAGCTCAGGCAATCCTCTCACCTCGGCCTCCCAAAGTGCTGGGATTATAGGCATGAGCCACTGAGCCTGGCCATTGAAAAAAAAAATTAGCTCTACCAAAAAAAATCTCACTGGCCACTCTGTTGCCACAATGAGTTACTAGAAAGGAGGAGAAATACAATTCTGTCTGCCCTTCATTCAACAAATGTTGTGTGCTAACTATATTCCAAACAGCTTCCTGAAGAGCTACTGCCAGGCATCTTCAGGGTTATTGATTTTCTGATTATAATGCTATGGTAACCAACAGGCACTTCTTAAGCATGGCCAAGGTAGGCAAGCTCTCAGAAGCAGTGTGGACCTGTGGCATCCTTTCCCATGAACGTGTCTGAACCACTCGGTCTCCAGTGGTGAAAAAGCAACCAGGGTTCAGAACCAGAGACTCCTGAAACCTTCAGACCAGAGTGGGGTCTGAAGTATCACCACACACCCCAGTGGAAGACAGTGAGCATTCCCACCTTCTGTCTCAAGTCTGACCCACAAGTGGCAATGTCCACACCCTCAACAGTTTCTGAGGTTTCCCCTCCCCCAGCAGTCATACTGTCTTTCATTTGCTGGCTTGCAGAGGTCTGATAGGAAATAAGTAATCTCTTTTCAGTCTTACTGACAAATAGAAGAACTCAGAAAGGAGGTACATGTGTTATAAGGTCTTACGACAAGTTTGATTTTCCTAGTGTTTGTTCAGTGCGTCTGCTAAGAGTATAAAGTGAAAGCCGGAGAATATAGACTAGAAACTGATAGGAAACAAATTGAAGTCAGGTGTTGTGGTGCGTGACTACAGTCCCAGCTACTTGGGAGGCTGAGGCAGGAGGATCGCTTGAGCCCAGGAGTTCAAGGCTGTAGTGAGCTGTGATTGTGCCACTGCAATCCAGTCTGAGTGACAAAGTGAAACCCTTGTCTCAAAAACAAAAACAAAAAACAAATTTATAGTTGTCATCCCAGGAAGAAATTGCTCAACAATAAAGTGGCTCCATATTTATTTCTCTATTCACAGTTTATACTCCAGCAATTTTAATGCAGGATTCGAGGAAGTAGATACCATAAGTGAAACTGTGTGTCTCTAGAGGTAAACAGCCTTACTGATTTCTTGCTTTATAATTATTTTTCAATTACAATACAACTACTAAGAGTTTAAGTTCCCACTGGAGTGGTGCACAACATTTCATTACTACTAGAAACCATAGGAAAGTTCCAGAAACAGACTATCATCATTTAGTGAAGTGGAATCCAGCCAAAACCCCAGGCTTACATCCAGATGCCTGCAGATCGGTTAAAATCCTTTTAAAGGATTTGTACTCTCCAGATACCAGTTTTTTCCAGGAAGTGGGAGTTTTTATTGGAGGACAGTTAACTAGTTCAAGAAACATTTGTTAAAATAGGTGAGTGTTTCTCTCCAACTTCAAGGCTCTCCAAGTCCTCCCTACCCCTCACACACAAAGGAAGTCCTGTCTTTCCTGCAGACAGCTCAGCAGCAACAGAACCTTTTTAACATGTTTTCCTGTGGGTCAAAGTTCCCTTGGGACTCTATACTGAAGGCCCCGCAGGGATGGGAGGCAGGTCCAGCAAACAGGATTTCATTTTTTGGAGCTCCTGGATCTCACCACTGCAAGGGCCATAGTGCACCAACAGAACCTCTTCTGCCTTTTGTATCGTGTTCAGAGCTTCAGGTACTGCAAACCTAAACCAAAGGACATAAGAGAAGTTAGTTTACTCATTCAGTTAAGCAAACATTAATTAAGGGCCTACTCACACACTGTGAAGAACACGAAGTTATACATGATCATTTCTGTCCTCGAGAATCTTACAAGCTAGAAGAGTAGGTGAGATGCTGTCACAAACACACTGGAAGTCAGAATTTGAGAAAAAAGTTATGAAAAAGAGTGTAGACTCCAGGATCCCGAGAAAAAAGGCAAATCTCAAAGCTTTCATCTGATATTTACCCCAAGGTTTACATAGCAGTCTTCATCTTAATGTAACCAAACTGATGCCTTACCTAACTCTGCAGCCTCTGATCCACTGGTTATCAGGTCCACCCTCCGTTGGTAATCTTAGGTTTAAGCCTAAGATTTAACACTTTCTCATACCAATGTACACTAATGGCAGTGTGTTATCAAGGCTGGAGGTATTCTATCCCAAAATACTGAAATTAGGACCTCCCAAAAGATCTCGATAGCACAAGTGGATGAGGCATCAGTTCAACACCCTGCTGTTGTTTCCTTTTATCCCTTAAAGCAGCGTTTCTCAACCTTTACATTATTGATATTTTGGGCCAGATATCGCATTGATACCAGATACTAGCACCTCTGGTCTTTGCACACTAGATGCCAGTAGCACGCCGCTTCCAAGTTGTGACAATAAAAAAGGTCTCCAGGCTGGGCACAGTGGCTCTTCCCTGTAATCCCAGACTTTGGGAGGCCAAGGTAGGAGGATCACTTGAGTCTAGGAATTTGAGACTGGCCTGGGCAACACAGCAAGACCCTGCCTCACTTTTAAAAAAAGTTAAAAAATTAGCAGGGCATGATGATACATGCCTGTAATCCCAATTACTTGGGCGGCTGAGCTGGGAGGATTATTTGAGTACGGAAGTTTGAGGCTGTAATGCACTCCAGCCTGGACAACAGAGTGAGACCTGCCTAAAAAAAAAAGGTGTCAGCCGGGCTCAGTGGCTCAGCCTGAAATCCCACGCCTTTGGGAGGCTGAGGTGAGTGGATTGCCTAAGCCTGCGGGTTCGAGACCCGCCTGGGCAGCGAGACCTCATCTCTACAATAAATAAAAAAATCAGCCGGGCATGGTAGTGCATGCCTGTAATTCCGGCTACTTGGAAGGCTGAGGCGGA